CGTCGCGCGTTGTGAGGTAAGGAAGGTGTGTAAAGTAAGGAAAGAGATAGTAGCGTGAAGATGGCGAGGAAATTAATGTAATTAATATAATATTAAAATAATCTAATGAAAATAAAGTTATCTTAATATTAGTAATGATAATGTCCTTGTGCAAAAGAGGAAAAGGACAAAGCTGGGAACTCGATTTTTATTGTATAAGTCCAAAGTTAAGTAAAACTAACCAATATTTAAAGTATATTAATTAAAATGAACTAAATAACAAATGAGTGAAAAATGTTATTATTTTTGAGACATTTGAAATAAATGAATAACCATAGATTAGCCTATTTAAAATGGCCAAAGTTATAACTACATTAACTTTGTAGATCATCCTCGTCGAAGAACGAATTAATAAGTGTATTAATGTTTATATAAACATCAGAATATATATTTATGTTTATAATACCTGTACGGTGTGTTTCTAATATATATCACTAAAAATGGTGTGAAATGAAACACTCCAAATAAAGTTTAGTTAGTTTCATTCAAAACTTCCAATCAATATATCACAATATTTAATAATACAATTATATTTATTTATTATTACAATTACAATAATCAAAATGAATAAATTACATTATCATATGATAATCATGAATAAACATTAGTATGGACGCCTCTGATTATTCAAATCCCTTTGAAATATGTGATAATTTGATGTGCATATGTCTATGATCATTTTTCACCGCGAAATTTTGTACTGGATCTCCGAAACCGCTACACCTAGTCTTTCCTCAAATTTAATCATTTCTTCATTTTGTCGAAACAAGTAAGTTTTTTACCGAATATTGCCGAAAATGGTATTTATTTTTCGAGAGAACGTATAGTCGATTTGAATGATGCAAAACACATTTTATTCGTTGGGTTTCGTATTAAGTTTAGCGCTTCGATATTTCGTCTCTAAAACACATAAGCAGCACGATTGCTTTGAAAAATGTTCATATTTTTTAAAAAAAATCGATACTAAAAAAAAAAATAAGTAATTTTTTTTTCATTTTTAATCGTACAAAAATCATAATTGAAATTTTTTGCATTTTTATGGGTTTTGAAGGTTTCTGAACATTTTGGTAAACCTTAGAAAAAATGGATGTATGTATGCATGAGTGTGTGATTCAATTTTTCGTCGACGTTTTCGGGCGCACGGATCAACCGATTTAAATTATTTAAAAAATATTCGATTTTTATTGATAGTGAAATGTGCTGATTAGTTTTTGGCAAATACTGGTCCAGCCGTTTCGGATATACATACTTTAAATATATCTGTAATACATAGATACACGTCCTCGTCCAATTCATAAGCTCATATAATCGAATAATTAAAGTTACACTATTAATAATAATCTCATTAAATTCATTTAATATTTTTCGAATATTTCGTTACGGTTCGGGAAGTTCCAGAAATTTGCCTCAGGGCGCGATGCCATACACCACTATATAGCTTAGAATTGCATGTAAATTCGTCATCTAAGAAGAAAGCTCGAGATCTGAAGAATATATTTTTCATAAACTTTCAGCTCGTTTACGAATTTGATAAGGTTTAATGGTAAGGTTTAAAGTTTAATGGTAAACTGGTTACATCAGCCAATACGACGATTGTCTTAGATCACACATAAATCAGAATTTAAATGTTTAAGGACAAAGAATTTAGCAAATTATACTACGCAAGTGAAAATTTATGATACGTGTTGTAGCATTAGACCATGATTAATACCTTTATTTATTTTTTTACTGCGAAGTGTTTTTCTTCATAACTTACAATTTATCTTGACAGCAAAAGCTGAAGAAGTATGAACTCTCCCCTCTTACTGACAAGGTGACATATATTATATTATATATCTGTGTATATGAAAGCTCGCATTGCTGGTGGAAAAATAAGGCCAACATGATATAATATTGCTTTATATAGATCCCAAAGTGTATCCGAATTTAATTCTGAAAATGTATTTTTTGTTTTGTATTCTATATTATATATGAAATGATCCAGAAAATACAGATTTATATTACAGATAAATAATGATTCGATATATTGCACTTTAAATATAATTTATGCGAATCAATCACATTTCTTAATAAGTCTATACTTACTTTTATTACATGATAAAATTTTATATTGTTTTCTTATAGGATAACGATATTTGAAAAATAAGATTATATAAATATAAGATATATTATACTTACTAGTATATTAATTCGTGTTAGTGGCATTTTGCCTTATGGATGATATTATGTTGATAATGGTCTTCACTATATATATATAGTGAAGACTCACCAGAAAATAAAATTAGGTATTAGTAATCTATATATATAGATTAGTATATTAATTGGTGTTAGTGGCATTTTGCCTTAAGGATGATATTATGTTGATAATGGTCTTCACTATATATATATAGTGAAGACCATTATCAACATAATATCATCCTTAAGGCAAAATGCCACTAACACCAATTAATATACTAATCTATATATATAAATTACTAACACCTAATTTTATTTTCTGGTGAGTATCTGATACAAATAAATAAAGCATAATATTATATTTTGAATGTGGTTATCCTGTATAAAAAATCTAATAAGAAATAAGGCTGATAGGCGTGAAACCCTATAGAGTTTCATCAAATGGCTTTTAAATTTTGAAAATCCGTGCAACCGTTTTTGAGAAAAAATTAACTGAAGGTATAATTTTAGCTCCCAGACACGCACCCATATTTGTTTTCGCCAAAAAATCCGACATGCTAATTTTATTTTTCTCGTTTCAAGTCATTCTGAAGACCAAAATTAGTAAAAGTGTGCATGTGTATGTATGTAAGCGAAAATTTTCTTAATTTGATTAAAATTTTCTTGATTTGATGAAACTCGATAAGGGCTCGAGTTGTTGCCTAACGGTTGGGTGAGCTGTTCCTTAAAATTAGAGGAAAAGTGTAATAAAACTGTACGCGTTTTTGACAAAAATTCTTAACCAGTTTTGAGAATTTCGAAACTAATCGAAAGTTTTCAGTGGGCAATCGTACTGATTAGTTTTTCGTGAAGATCAGACGCGCTGTTTGTTCGTAATTAATTGTGAAGAACTTTTTGAAAATCACTTTGTATGGAGATGACTAAAAACAAATTTTATGGAAATGCGATAAGTGATTCGATTATAAAAATTCATTAAATTTTCAAGTCATGCCATGTGTACGTTATGTGTGTGGATCTGTTTCGATTATTTATGTGTATGAAATTTGCCTTGACAAAGTAACACCTACAACCACCAAATTTTGTGTCAAGCGATTCAGAATAACTTGAACAATCGGGAAATCATAAAATTAGCGAATCGGAAAAAGAATATTCTGGATATTTATTTCAGCTTAGGTTACATGCATAGATAAATATATTATATTACAATAGTTATATGTCTAGAGAACCAAATATTTTTGACGAAGAGTTTGTCTTTTTATCTTATCGTTGTCTGTTTAAATTTGTGTAATTACTTATTTGATTATAAACAAATCTCATTTACTCATACATTTAGATAACTATAATTTTTTATAACTTTTTTTAAAGAAGGGTAAATAAACTAATTTTGAAAACGCCCACGTATTGTATATAGCGCTGCCACTGATCCCCGGATATATATTTTGAATATAGATAATAATTATTAAGATAAATATTAAGTTAAGTGCTTTTATCAACAAGAATCGAACAAATTTTGAACGTGGTTTGCCTATTATTTACCAATATCGAGCTAATATTACATTTGAAAGTGGTATCAATTATGTTAATTACATATGTTAATATAACAATATTCCCTCAACTGGAAATATTTGAATCTTGTTCAATTTTAAATATTATATTTTGTAGTAATATTAAATAAAAATTCAAGAGCTTTATTTAGTGAATTGAAATAGCTTAATTATTATCAATTTTATATGAAAGTTAATTTTCGTATGCTAGTTTACAAACATTTACCCAAAATTAACTGAAGGTTAAGTGACAAGTTCTTTTATAGCACAACATTCTTAATTTAAGTAGCAATTCCATTTGTATATTGTAAAAAAAATATATTCTATGAAAAACTAGTCTACTAAAAAAATTACACGAATTGTGTACACATAAAAATCTCTACAAAATATCTGATAATTTGATGTGCATAAGTCCAATAAACATTTTTGACCGCCAAATGACATTTTTTAACTTATTTTTAATTAGAGTCCATAACCGCTAGACTTCCCAAAAATTTAATCAGTTTTTCATCTTGTCAATACAAGTAAAATGTTTTTTGAATTATTAAAGTTGAACGCTCCGTTCTCTTAAAAACTAAGTTACCGTTTTTGGCACTTTTTGCCCCGTATCTTCGGAACGGCTAGCCCTGGCTTAGCCAAAAACTAATCGGCACGTCTCCTTATCAATACGAATCGATTGTTTTTTTTTAATTATTCAAGTCGGTTGATCCGTGTTCCCGCAATCATAATTTGTTGATACAAAAAATTGTATCCGCACATACACACAATACATCAATACATCCGCACGCACACAATACATCAATTTTTTCTAAGGTATGCCAAAATGTGCAGAAACCTTTCAAACGTACAGATATATAAAAAATTTATTTTCGATTTTTTGCGATTACTATAACTTGCCCTACGGGAAGTTAAGTAATAAGTAATTTAAAGTTAATAAATGAATAACGTAATATTCTTTTCATTTAGAATCTAAGCATCATCCATAATATTTTGATAACTTTTTCTTATTTTGCTAAATATGAATGTGGAATACATATTGATGCCAATTTAAATTGTTTTCTTTATATTACATTTATTAAACTAAAACGATTTCTTTAGGTATTTGATTAGTTTGTCACTGAAGGAACTCTTTTAGTTTAAATATTCGAACAGAGAGCTCATAAGATTTTAATTAAAATGCAATCTATAACAACTTCATTTATTAACAGATTTGAATAACAAATATTTCATGAAAAACAAACTTCAGGTATTTTATGTTTGTTATTTATTTTGATCAACAGAAGTTTAAAATTCTTCGTTCTCAAATGGATGGTGTTTATGTCCAAGTGCTCTAAAATATTTCAAAATGGTTAAAATCATTAATCACATTGAGAGAATAATATAAAAACTGATATTAACATATCAAATTATTTACTATAAACTATATATATATATATATATATATATATATATTGAATGGTAGAGTCTTGGATTTGTGTATATTTTGTAGAGTTTCGAACAAGAATCCAAAAATAATACAAAATAAAAAACAAGAAAAGTTTTTAAAAAAACAATTTCTTTATTTAATTATTTGTTTATTGTCGACGTTTCGGAACTAGGTACGTTCCATCTTCAGGACATCTGTCAAGAAACATGATCTTGATGAGATTTTAGCAAACAATATGTTTAGGATTTTTATCATTTTTATTTTGAACATATTATCATATTTCTGTACATTATTATATATTTTTTACAATTTAATTCATTATTTAAGAAAAATCTATTTTCTTTTCCTAAACATATTGTTTGCTAAAATCTCATCAAGATCATGTTTCTTGACAGATGTCCTGAAGATGGAACGTACCTAGTTCCGAAACGTCGACAATAAACAAATAATTAAATAAAGAAATTGTTTTTTTAAAAACTTTTCTTGTTTTTTATTTTGTATTATTTTTGGATTCTTGTTCGAAACTCTACAAAATATATATATATATATATATATATATATGTGTGTGTGTGTGTGTGTGTGTGTGTGTGTGTGTGTTAAAGAAGTTAGTTTTGATGTTGAGAAATATGAATAAGTTCTTCAAGGGCAATACATCAAATAAAAGGCAAAGATTTAGAAGTTAATCTTTAATTTTTTCCAAACGTTTCGACATAAAATTTTATGTCATCATCAGTGGATATAAATATGGTCTTACATCAGTAACTAGTGCATGGCACATAATTTTGCACTATCATATATACACTAACTTGTTTTTTGTTTTTGTTGAACAGAGTATAGCAAAATATTTGTGAAATATATAATATATTTTGCACGGAGAAAGTAGTTTATGCGTATTTTTTCGAGGCATTGCCCTAACATAAAATCCAATGTCAAAACGTTTGGAAAAAATTAAAGATTAACTTCTAAATCTTTGCCTTTTATTTGATGTATTGCCCTTGAAGAACTTACTCATATATATATATAATATATATATATATATATATATATATATATACACACCTAAGTCTGTTTTTACACGGAGATTGGTTCCAGAAGAAGCCGTGTAAAAAAAAAACGTGTAAAAAAAGACATTGATCTTATACAAAAATGGGTGATTTGTCCTACTCTCTAAAACCTATTAAAATTAGTGTAAAACAAGAATTTTCAAGAACAAGAATTCATGTTTATTTTAATAATAATTCCCCTAAATTAGTGCTATTCACATTTGCTTTGACCAGTAAAAATTGTTTGTACGCGCTAAAGGGGAATTCACTTAAATCTTTATGCTAGTGTTCGCAAACTATCGATACTATCGATGATTTCAGACTTTTTTCTTTCATAAATACTTTTTTGTGATATGAACATACATCGCAAAAATTAAATTTGACAAAAAAAATTAATTACATAAAATTTCAAATATTGCTAAATGGAATAAAATCGTGTAAAAAAATTAAAAATATTCAATTTTCAAACCGTGTTATATCAAAACCGTGTACAAAAAGACCGTGTAAAAACAGACTTAGGTGTATACACCTAAGTCTGTTTTTACACGGAGATTGGTTCCAGAAGAATCCGTGTAAAAAAAAAAAACGTGTAAAAAAAGACATTGATCTTATACAAAACTGGGTGATTTGTTCCTAATCTCTAAAACCTATTGAAATTAGTGAAAAGCAAGAATTTTTAGGGTATTCCCCTAAATTAGTGCTATTCACATTTGCTTTGACCAGTAAAAATTGTTTGTGCGCGCTAAAGGGGAATTCACTTAAATTTTTAAGCTAATGTTCGCAAACTATCGATACTATCGTTGGTTTCAGACTTTTCTTTCATAAATACTTTTTTGTGATATGAACATACTTCGCAAAAATTAAATTTGACAAAAAAAATTCAAGTATATAAAATTTCAAATCGTGCTAAATGGAATAAAATCGTGTAAAAAAATTAAAAATGTTCAATTTTCAAACCGTGTTATATCAAAACCGTGTACAAAAGGACCGTGTAAAAACAGACTTAGGTGTATATATATATATATATATATATATATATATATATATATATATATATATATATATATATATATTTATATATGCATCTATACAATAGGTAAATATTTTATAAGTACATATATATAACATACCCTGTCATTGGAACAGTTCTATAGTTTTCATCAAGCTTACTAAAGCATTCCATGTCATCTTCCGATAATTCAAAATCAAAGATATTGAAGTTTTCAGCAATTCGAGATTTTGTAACTGATTTTGGTATTACAATATTGCCTAATTGTAAATTCCATCTAACAAACAAGAGTATTTTACTTCACATTTTAAAAATCTTTTACTCTCTTACTTCTATTATTGTTAATATTTCATTTGAGCACCTTATTGTTAATACAAAATGCTTTTGAAAAAGGTAATAGATAATAAATAATATATTAAGTGTCATTTGAAAATTGGGGAGAAATTAATTTTTATTACAGTTTCCCCAAATTGCTTTTCTACTAAATGATATCTATAATTAAAAATTACCTCAATGTTAATTGGGCTGGAGTTTTTCCTAAAGCTTTAGCCCTTTCGTTGAGCCATTGATCATCAAGAACCTTTTTGTCTTCCGGTTTCGCCCAAGGTCTATCAGGAGAGCCCAGTGGACTATATGATGTTATTTGAATTCCACGTGCTTGACAGAATTGTCTTAGCCGGCTTTGATTCAAGTAAGGGTGCAACTCAACCTGGAAGAATATCATATTATAAACTCACATTGCATGTATATAAGTATAGAAAAAATGTTCAGCAATAGTGCAAAAATTCTAAAAAAAAATCACATTAAGGGTTCACTATCTGAAGTCGGAGTTAATTTGTGAAGTCATTGCCAAAAGAAAAAATCTTAAAAGATAAGGATTAACCAAACAATATTGTACCTCAAATATTGAAACCAAAACTACCCAGAAAATAAGTAACAACAATAAGAAAATAAAAACAACAATTTAAAACTCTTAATTCAATATCATTCCTAGATGACAAAAACATGTACCTGGTTAGTAACTGGTTTGATTTTGCAGTGATCAAGAAGTCTTTGCAATTGCTTTGAATTGAAGTTAGAGACCCCAATGTTTTTCACCAATCCATCATTATATAAAGCTTCCATTGCTGTCCAAGTATCTAAATAATCAACATCAGAAAACTGAATTTGACCGTTAACAGTTGGAAACAAATCTTCTTCTTCCTTTAATGGTTAAAATATTAAATCAATACATGAAAATAGTGTACTACGTAAGTACTACTAACTTTGTAAGCCATAGGCCAATGGATCAAATACAAGTCTAAATATTTTAAGCCAAGATTGTCGAGTGTAGTTTGTAAAGCGCCTTTGACTAAGTCTGGTCTGTGGAAAGTATTCCATAGTTTGCTCGTTATATAAAGATCCTCTCTAAAAAATAAATAGCGTAATTAAAAAAAAATTATATGATGTTTGTAATAAAAAAAATAGAAATTAGATACAGTCTAAGTTAAATACACAAATTATGTAACTATTCTATGTTTAAGAAATCAAATGATCCATGCATTACAATTAGTGAGCAAAAAAAATATAATAATAAATGAATAATTTTTTGTCTTCTCATCATTTAATGTAACATGATTGTAGTATCTATGCAAATTTTCCACATTTATGTGTTAATGGCACAAATAATTTCAAGTAGTCAAAGAATGTTTATATTCTATCAACAATATAAACAGGATAATTGAATTATGAAGAAAGAGGTGCAAATAAGGGCTATTAAATAACACAAACTGATTTTAGATATATAGCATTGAATTATAAGATCTTTTACATACAATTTAACCTGGAAGAACTGAGTATCAATTATTCTATTTCACTTCAATATATAAGCAAATTACTTGAATAGTTTTAAATTTTTTAAATAAATTTGTATCCAAATTCAAAAGCCAAAATTATTCGGTTTTAAAGTTTCTTCAATTTTTTTTTTGCACAAAAAATATTTGCTATACAGATTATGTCAGTAATTCGAAACATATTAAGTTCAGTTTCCTCATCTTCATTTACAAAATATATATATAAATATATACATATATATAAATATTAAATGAATATATATATATATATATATATATATATATTCCGAAGGAAAATATTGATTATTTAAAAATAGACTGATGTGACCTAATATGAAACATTGTAGAATCAATCAATAAATTTAAATTTTTAAAGCCGTACACAAGTCTGCTCTACAATTAATCAAAACTATAATGAAGTACATGGATGTGCACTAATTTTTCTATTTATGCAATACTCTTTCCAGAGTTGAATAGATTTAAATATGACAATGAATACTTAATTGATGTGGCAAGAAATTAATTGAGCATAATATGTTGGAAAGATTGAGTAGTAATTTGTAAATAACATGCACTAAAAACTAACCAGTGTATAGTATGCTAGATAAATTCATAAAACTAATCAACCTTTTGACTACGCCTTCCTCAATTTTGCTTTTGATAGCTGAGCCAACTTCTTTTTCATTGCCATAAACATGAGCACAATCAATGTGCCTATATCCGAGGTCAATCGCATCTCTGACAGCTCGATCTACTTTTCCTGGCTCTGACTAATAAATGAAATGATAAATTACCATTAAGAATACTAATACCACTTACGTATCTACTATTGCATACAGATTAATTATGATACGAGTTATTAATATTATTAAAATTATAAGAATGATTGTTAAAATAATATAATGCTTGTAATCAAATTCAATTATAATGTTCTGTCACTATTTTTGGAGCCTCTATTTAAACTAATTAGATCTGAAGAGATCCATATATTCTATAACAAATAAAATTATTTAATTTAAGATCAATTAAAATAAAATAGAAATATTTAACTTATATATTTGATAACTTCTGATTTTGCATAAATGATTTATCAAAAGTATACACATAGTAAAATATATAACAATATCATTGCTGTAAATAAGTAATTTGCAAAGTCAATATACACACTGAAGGAAAATATTGATTATTTAAAAATAGACTTATGTGACTTAATATGAAACATTGTACAATCAATCAATAAATTTAAATTATTACAGCCGTACAACTATAAAGAAAGGCATGGCTGTAACTTAGGCATGTAAATTAGTATAAAATATTATTCGTTTCTGATAGTAATAGCTAATGACTTTATAAAAGATGTTAACCAATTACTTGTCTTTGTATTTAATTATTATTTTATTATTATTTATTAGTATTCAAGGTTTGTTTTGATCTACTTAAGAAATAATAAATATTACCATATTAATTGGTATTCAATTATTAATTTAATTTTTGTTTATAGACAATTTTTATTATAGTATTCAATATGTCGATAGGTATTTTCTATAGAAAACCTTCCAATGTTATCACATTGTTAAAAAATTTTTATAACATGTGTCAACACATTATAATGTAATGATGCAATGATTTAGACGATAAAGAAACATTTATATGTGTTTGATTTATGTTACTTCAGTAGTGATATATCAAATATATCCCTCTATCGATAGCAGTCAAAATATGCACAGATTGGGCGCAGTGTATCTGACAAAAACAAATTTCAAGTATATGCACAAATGGAAGATAGCTTTATATAATGCTATTTAATTGGAATTTTTACAATGCTGAATATATGTGTTATGATTAAGTAAAAACAAAATATGTATTACATCAAGATTATTTTTACAATATATTGTACCCACATATATTTATATTTTGCTATATTGTACAATATATTCTTGATGCGCAAACTGTACTTTTTCTAAAATAAGTACTATAATTTATTAAATTATATAATTGACACATTTTATTGCAAAGCCTGCATAAAAATTTGGGATATTAAAAACTTATTTTGTCATTTTGTACGCTTAATAGAATTTGGCTCAGTGCTTAATAGAATTTTGCAAATATACCACCAAAGTTCAAAGACAATATAATGTAAACGAATAAAAAGTAAATATAAAATAATAAGGCTGCTGAGCTCTGGGAGTCTCGATAACATCAAATCATGAAGCAACATATTGAAATGCTGATCCTGTATTTAACAGATTGCCTGACAAAAAGATATATCTTCGTAATTCATGTAACATCTCTAAAAACAAAATTTGTTACGTTCAATTAGAATCACTCTTAGAACTCATACTATTAGAACAAAAAGGTTTATGAAACAAAATATCTGAAATAGAATAAATAAGTATAGGTTATAGTGGATTATGGTAATATCGTTTCTATATTTAAATAATTCACTGTTAATGCTTTCGCCAACTTATGCTATATTGTCTAAGAACTTATGTTTCTAGGTTATAAAATACTTTTATAAAATTTACCTTCCAGGTTCCCAATCCAAGAACAGGAAATTGATTTCCATTGTTAAACGTTACAAATTCTTTTGGTTTCAAACTCATGATGTTCAACAGATATAATTACAGCTCACAAATATTCCTGTAGTGATTGTACTAGAATCTTGGTTATTTGCACAAAGTATTATCAGCAATGGAAAAACTTATCAATTCAAGGTTTATCAAACAGATCAATCTAAAGGTGCGTCCACACCTAACGAACGAACACGAACGAACATAAACGAACGTACCAGAACGAACGGCAACAGCACAGTGTGGACGCCACGACGATCACGAACGAACATAAACAAACATGGCGAGCAATGTTCCGCAACTTGTCGGTACATCAAAGGGAATTGTTCGTTCGTGTTGGTACTCGTATTTGCAGTGTGGACGTCTCAACGAACGCAAACGAACATTTTTGTTTTAATAATTTTAATAATTTTATAATAATTTTTTAATAATTTAATAATAATTTTTTAAAAATTTAATAATAATTTTAATAATTTAATAATATTTACTTTTAATTATTGTGTACAGTTTGAAAATTTTAATAATATTTACTTTTAATTAATGTGTACAGTTTGAAAATTTTGAATAAATTATGGAATGGTCAAATAACGTAATTTTATCATTCATAAATGAAATAGAAAAGTTTCCTATAATATAGGAGACTAAAAACCATTTTTATAAAATTATTAGACAAAAAACGATGCTTGGGAAAGTGTAGGCAAAACGTTTGGGATGTCAGAAGCTGCAGTAAAGAAGAAAATGGCAGTCTTTACAAGTAAATATTAAACTTGTTATCATACACAGACATTCAAAATATATGTTGAGGATGAGAGTTTGAAAATTGAGTATAGTTAGCTCAAGGAATGTTCAGCTTGCTCCGAATATGAATGCTGAGGAAAGAAAACGACTCAAAATATAAATATTAAATACAAAAACTGAGTGAAATTAATTGAATAATTTATTTACAGTATATTTACAAAAATATACACGAACAAAAATCACACAAAAACCAGTGAAAATGCCGTATGATTAAAGCTTACATCCATATCAATAATAAAACTGACGTTTCACGGAACACCTACGAACAACGAAAATTCAAGCGCTCACTGCTTTTAAGCGCTTGTTCAAGTTTGTTTGAAATTTTTCGCGTTCGTTCGTGTTCCTGCTCGTTCTTCTTTGTATTTTCTTGTTTGACATGTTCGTTCGTGTTCGTTCGTTAGGTGTGGACGCACCTTAATTGGATAATGATTCGTGCGTGATCGGCTCTGATAGACGAAGGCAATAAATTGTTACTGATAAGTTGGTTGTTTTCAGATGTAAGATCTGTCAAGAGTCTCTAAACACAGGATAAAAAAGTGCTGAGAAAGCTGTCTGAAGTTAACACCACCTTAAATCAGGCTAAGAATTTTGACATTTTCATATTTCAGCCAGCATGAAGTTGGCGACGAAATAGAAGTTAGACGTCAAGTTGAAATGTATTGGATTCATAACTTTGACAGCTAAAACCTGTCAAGATCATTATTATCACAGCCAAACAAGTATTATTATTATTATATTGTCTAATACCAAGATGATAGCCTTTATCTTAGACAATATATTACGTTAAAATACAATATATCTTGTTCCCTCATAGCAAATATTGCAGAAAAAACGAAATATATCTGTCAATTCCAAGACAGTATGAAGTATTTTGGTTCAGTATTATAACATCAGAAGTGTTTCAATTTTATTTCATTTACTGAACCTTCTATTTGTTGTTTGTTGAGTTTTAGTTAGCTTTCACTGATTAAGTTGAGATCGAAACCAAACCTAATAATGTATACAACGTAACCCTAACAAAAATAATGAAAAATGTAACCCTATGCGTAAAACGTAAGCCTAAATTATTTTTTAAAACAAAATTATAACTAAACATTGTATAAAATCTAAGCTAGACTAAAATGATCTTGAATGAAAGAATCCTAAAACATAACCCTAAAATGTAAAAATTAAAATAAGAACTAAATAGGCGCGTAATCAAAAAGCCAAAGCGAATAAACTTGAACGGACATAAAAAAAAAAAGAGTGCGCGTAAGGATCACACGCGATTGAAGTAAAACTTTTAATATTGTATGAGTAGGCAATTAAGATAAAAATAAAAAAAACATCATATTTGAATTTTAAAAATCATCTTTTAATAATCATATAACATCAATAATAATAAGATCTCCTGAGCATCGGCACAGCTGTCCTACTGATATTAAGAGTTTGAATATGATGTGAAGCCATGGCCGGTAATCTCGGAACAAACGTCTGTAACCCGAGTTTAGTTAGAGCCCCTGCCGCCGGTCGCGCTTGTCTTTTTTTTTTTTTTTTTTTTTTTTTTCACTTTGAAATCGAATTTGACATATGACAGATACGTAAATCAAACATGGCGTCCATTGTAATAAATTTTTCATGAAGAGATAACCTAGACAATATATAAATGCTTGTTAAAGTAAAAAACAAATAAGCTGTCGAAGTGCATTGTTTAACGATGAAGAAATACCAGAAAATGCATGTATTATGTAGTTCCAGCGAGAAACGACGAAGTAAAAGTAAATAGTTAATAATATTTGCCGGCTTTCAATCTAAGTGAGTACTTTTATTAATATCATACTCGAATTACTTTCATTTGATTGTACTATTCTGATATGATTTTTCATTACAGTTTTATAATTCAGAAATAATTGAGACATTTAACTATATCAATACTAGAAATTTTAAGGTTATAAATAGATAGAGAGAATTCCTGTCAGCTTTCTGAAAGGTATGTTATTAAATAACTAAATATAAATTAATTCTTGTTCTAATAATGTAGGATCATAACTAATAATTCTACATCAATTTTTTTCAGCAGTATAAAAGGAAAATACGTTTAAATGTAAATGTTTAGACGGTTTACTAAACACTTCACAAGTACAGGTATTGATACGGAGATGAATGAATACACAGGAAAAAACAATAATGAAGTCTGAAATGTGCTGAAATCTTTGCTGATCTCCCACTAATATTGAACAGTAGGACTCGTAATTATATATAAGTCAGTTTGGAGAACATACTAAAACACTAATGATATATCGTAAGTGGAAGGAAATTCTCAATTAATGGGTGAAATTCTAGCTAGTGCAAGGTTAATTAGGTTTGGCTATGTCACAGAAAAGTTTTTAAGTATTAATAATTTTATTGATTCATTGATATTACAAGAAACTATTATTATCTGTGTTGTTTAATGATGATAAAGGGAATCACATTGTATAGATTTTTCAGGAACTGTCCAAATGACAGGCAAAGTATAATCATGATTAAGGATAAAATTCTACCTAGTGCAAAGGGATAAAACACCCTTATGTGCACTGCTTATTGCATTTGACTATTCTGAAAGAGTTGTCAATAGCTTTACTCTAAAATGTCTTATTGTAGATGCTATCGAAACTATAAGTACTGTTATGATAATATCAATGATGTTGTATTTCTTAAGACAATGATAATAATGACATTTTGAA